TATTTACTGACAATAAAAGATATACTTCCCAAATATTTATTAATTGTTTTTCTTGGAAAATATTTTGTTCAAATGTCTATTATTGCCAAAATTAAAATGCATATATATATATATATATCCGGAAATTTCAATCAAAAAATTTTTAATTATAAATTAATTATGATAAGTTTATATAAAAATAAAATAAATTTTTATATATTTAAATAAAAGTCTTACATTAGGCGCGCACCAAATAATTTCAAAATGCCATCTATAAAAATTGCTGGTAAAATGTGTAATAATAACATCAATATGTAATATTTGTAAAAATTTGTTGTTATTATCGTTCCTGGCTTCCAAAGTATGTTATCCAAAGGCATATTCTTTATAATCTTCAGGCCGAAGTTAATTATAGTCTGTATAGGCATTGGCTTCATATTATTTCCGGAACAGTTATAAACTTCAATTGTTTTGTTCTCACTAAAGCATAAAATGTGCTATGAATTTCTATATAAATCGAATGTATATAATATTTCTGCTATCATTTTAGAATATAATACATTAAAAGGACTTAAGTTATTTTATTTTATTCTAAGTGTCACGCTTACGTTTTGATTCCAAATTTCCAAGCTGCAATAATTAGAACTTTAATGACTATATCAACTGGCACTAAATCGAAAATAAGATTAGGGTCACACCACGCTACTCGCAATATGCCTTTGCCACCACCACTTAACATGCCAACAGGCCCATTGAAATTGTCAATCCAACCTTCTACAGGATCAGTCAATGTTGATACGACTGTACAAAAATAATTTGATATTTCTTTAATATCTATTCTCTATATCAATTTCCTGTATGTAATTTTATGTTAGTTTGTTTTTTAATTATATCTTAGTTTGTATATTTAACATAATGTTTAATATAAGATATATTGATAAATTACTTTTTATTTTGCATTATCTAACATATTATACACATTAAATAAAAACTAAATATTTTGTTATTATAGAATATACTTATTATATAGAGTATAATTGTATCTATTATTTCTCGTGAGCAGATAAAGCATAAAACAAAACAAAAAAATCTTTTACCATAAAAATGCATTCATACGATTTAATAACAAATAAATAGCAATGAAGAAAAGGCAACCCAGCACGTAACATTACATTGCTCCGTACAATACTTGTACGGAGAGACATTGGGGAAGAGTTTTTACAATTATGAATACGTAACGCTGGATTTGTTCTTGTCCCTGAATCGTGTGGATACATGCTCATTTGTAAATCTTTGTTAATTAATTTCTTATTAATTATTGAGAAACTCAATGATATTGACTATAAAAATTATTGAAAAGATTGTAACAACTAATTCCATTCCTTTTTACACACTTACACATAACATTAATCTAGAACAGAAAGTGTCAAATATTCTTTTTATATTCTTTTTTAACAAAACAATATCTATTTACATTTTTTTACAAATATAAAACTAATTCTAACAAAAACATTAAATCAGGAAATTTGATTAATATAAAAATAAATTTATATATTAGGTGTACAAACTTTGTTTCCACCGTTTTCCTACAGGTGGCTTTAGCGATAAGTAGTGGTCGAAATAAATAGATCATAGACGTTATACAATAAACTTGGGCATCTATCAACATAATCCCATAGAAACATTAGTCGATTTGTGTGACTGCATCATAAAGTTATTTTCGATTGAAAATGTCAGTTTACGAGCCAAATTCTCATTTGCGTCATTTGCGGGAGGTTTTAATTTTTTCAATATGAAGAAATCCGCGGCTGAGACTCATCGAATGCTCTCAAATACTTATGGTGAGGCCGCTATTAGTGAAAGAACGTGTCGAGTGGTTTCAACGCTTCAAGAACGGTGATTTTGACGTCCAAGGTCATGCTCTGTATTTGGTGGGACTAGCTCGGCGTAGTGTATTATGAACTTTTAAAACCGACTGAAACAATCACAGGCGATCGGTATCGAACGCAATTGATGCCGATTTGAGCCGAGCATTGAAAGACAAACAGCCGCAATACGAGAGACACGATAGAGTGATTTTGCAGCATGATGCTCGACTCCATGTTGTGAAAGTGGTCAAGACATACTTGGAAACGTTGAAATGGGAAGTCCTACCCCACCCGCCGTATTCTCCAGACGTTGCTCCCTCTGACTATCACTTGTTTCGATCAATGGCAAACAGCCTGGCTGACTAGCACTTCCGGTCTTATGAAGAAGTAAAAAATTGGATCGATTCGTGAATAGCCTCAAAAGATGACCAGTTTTTTCGACGCGGGATTCACTACCCGAAAGATGGGAGAAAATAGTGGCCAGCGATAGACAATACTTTGAATCATAAATGTATAACCATTTTTTATAATAAAGCCTCGAATTTCGGAAAAAAAAACGGCGGAAGCAAAGTTGTACACCTAATATAAATGCAAGTAATGATTAAAAGAATAGATGTATTAACATTACGTACGCACCAATCGAAGGCCTAACGAGTACACAAGGCAACGCTCTGGAATAATCGTCTATCACTTCCTCAGCCAATTTTTTAGTAAAAGTGTAAGTGTTTGGCATCGTTCCTAGAAATCTGTAAATAAACGTGAATGTTTATTTTAAAAGTAACAATATTACTCATATCGCCCTCTGTAAAGCTTACTTTGCTGTTAATATTTCAAGACTATATTCATCGATGGATTCGGCAATCTCTATCATTTTTTTCCAGTTAAATATTGAAGGATATAAAATCTCGTCCACTACAAATTTATCGGTTTGCGAGTACGTTGTACTAACATGCAAAAGAACCTTAAAATTATACATTAAATATTAAGATATTATTAATATCGAGAATTTATTTTGTAATAGACACATTCTTAATTAATAAACTTCGCATTTGGCAGTTTTCATATAATATAGTCCATTTTACACTGTTAAACATAAAATTAAAATAAATTTTTTTTTATTATAAAGAAAGTTTTTATGAGTTGTTAATTGAGTTGACAATAAGCGAATTTTATTTTGTATATATTTTATACATTTACCTTATTATTATAGAATAGAACGTTTAGACGATTTGATTAGACGCTAGGATTGTTATGTATATAATATATATTATGTATTAGTATGTAGTATGTATTAAGATCGATTATTCGATGTATAATGATGAGTGATTTGTCGCGATATTGTTATTGGAACGAGGATAGTCGCTTGTGAGACATGATACAATATACTTCTCAGCTCTCTACATTAGATTTCCATTATATATCCTCTCTTCCTACAATTTTGGGGATTCATTCTCAAGGGAGAAGTCTGAGAAGTACAATAGAAAAGAAGAGCAGATTTAGAAAAAAAAGACGGTTATAAGTGTATTTGAAAACGACGAATAATTTTGAGATAAAAACAAAATGGCAAGAGGACGGCTGCAGAGACGATTCGAAGACGGACGATTTCGTTCGACTTATGAGCGATGATCAAGAGCTAGTGATAAAAGACGTCTATTCATGTACGCTCGAATTAAAAGAGAAATTGAAGAAACGAGGGCAAAATATAATAGGAACGAAGGCCAAGCATAGATCGACTGATGTTGGTCCGGCGGATGCGTGGGAGGACAAGGTGGCACGTTTGGGATGGATATCATTGGCGTTGGTACGAGTGAGACACATGTTGATGTCATCGAGAACTGCATACCAAGAGAAGCGGCGGATCGGAAACAGACTTTGATCCTGCGGGAAGCGAGGCTGCAACATCGAGAAAAAGAGTTGGCTTTGCGCAAACTTAAATCGGCGCGACAGAAGATTGACCAATTGTGCTTTGCGTTGGAAACAGGAACAGTAGCCGTGCGACCGGCGGAGGTGGGACGTCCAGAAGAGCAGAGACAGATGAGGAATGCATCATTGCCATAAATACTATTGCAGAATTACTGAGCTACTTCGATAGTAGCGGCGATAAGTTTAAAACCTGGGAAAAACAGGTAAGATTATTAAAGACGACTTATCATTTAAACGATGATATGGCACGATTCTGGTGGGATCACGGTTGAGGGGGCGAGCAGCTGAATGATTATATTCGAGCGCTGAATATTTCGAGATGTCAGTTTGTTACTGATTGAGTGAGTCTGAAGAATATATTTGCTCAACAAGTATAATAAATAGGGTTACTGCGAGAAAGCGCTTTGAGGAGCGCATTTGATGTAAAGAAGAAATTTTCAGCGACTATTTACACGACAAAATGATTTTGGCAAATCACGTTCCAGTCGGAAATTCAGAATTAATAGATTATATCATTGAAAGAATGTCAGATCTGTTACTGCGAGATTAGGCCAGAATCTAGCATTTCGAATCTACAACGGCGCTGTTAAGAGCATTCGAGAGAATCGATCTTTGCTTGAGGGAGTCATTATATACTCTCTCAAGCAAAGGTCGAATATTCCAGAAGAAACAGCATCGCGATGGCAGTTTAGAGAAATAGAAGAGAAGGAAAGGATTACAATTGCGGTGAGCAAGGTCATGTGTCCGCCAAATGTCCTACGAAAAAAAAGAGCACTAAATGTTTTCGTTTGGTTATATAGCAGCTAAATATAAGAATAGTACCTATATAAAAACAAATAAAGAAATTAACGAATGGCGTGATTTTCACGTCGGTAACGGACAGATGAACTGGACAAAATGTTTTAAGGAAGTCACATTTACTGAATATAAATTAACGTCGGATATAAATTAATCGATACAGAAAGCGATCTGTGTTTCGCGCGAGTATTTAAATTAAGATTGGCGCTCCTGCATTGCGGAATGAGATAATCGAGTTTCGCGGATTCAGATAATAATTAAACGTTAGGTAAGTTTATTAGAATTCTTGTTGTAGACAACGAATATATTGCCTTACAGTACAGTGTGGTTTTGGATAGCCTCATATCTATGTATGATTTACTTATTGAATCTGACTTTATAAATATCGTTGAATTCAATGTCAAGGAAGGAACGGCAATATTCACAAAGCCAACAAGTTGTTGCGAAGCAAGGCAGGAGTGACCTGAAATATTTGTGGTTGATATTATAGGGTGTATAAGCTTAAATCCATTGTTTTTTAGTCAGAAAAACACATTTTTTTTTTCCTAGGAAGTAAAAACAAATTTATTCAAAATACTTGCCCTCACTAACTGCATTTTTCCCATCTTTCGGGCAATTTGTGTATACCACGCCAAAAAAATTCCTCATCTTTCGAGGCAAACCATTCAAGTCATTTTCGGACGTCTTCGTAAGAATCGAAGTGCCGCTCAGCGAGCGCGTGGCCCATCGACGAAAACAGGTAATAGTCAGAAGGTGCCAAATCTGGTGAGTAAGCGGGATGGAGTAGCACTTCCCAGTTGAGTGTCTCCAAGTAGTTTTGGACCATTGTTGACGTGTGCGATAGTGCGTTGTCATAAAGGAAAATCAGCTTGTCATGTCTTTTCCGATAATTCTGCGACCTTTTTTCACGCCGAGCACGGTGCAATTTGATCAGTTGTTGATGGTAGCGGTGAGCATTAACAGTTTTATCAGGTTTTAACAGCTCGTAGTAGATGACACTCTCTTGATCCCACCAAACACACAGCATCGTCTTCCATCCGAAGCGATTTGAGGAAGATGTTGATGGTTGGGCGGGATCAACCCAAGATTTCTTGCGTTTAGGATTCTGAAAATAGATCCACTTTTCATCGCCTGTCACAATCCGATGCAGGAACGACTTTCTTTTTTGTCTGGCAAGCAGAATTTGGCATGTGTTTTGGCGTCGCTCCATCTGCCTATCGTTCAGTTCATGCGGCATCCATTTTCCATCTTTCGAACCTTCTCCATGGCACATAGCCGCATGGAAATGGCTGCTTGAGAAACACCCAATTGCTCGGCAAGCATTTTTTGCGATTGAGTATCGTCCTCATTCAAAAGAGCCTGCAATTGACAATCCTCAACCTTCCTGGGTCGATTTTCACACTTTTTGTCACTCAGGTCAAAATTGTCGTCATTGAACCGGCGAAACCAAGCTCTGCACGTTGTTTCCAATAAAGCATTATCGCCATAGGCCTCCACAAACATTCGATGCGATTCGGCAGCCGATTTCTTCAAATTGAAACAGCAAAGCTTCCCGCATATGCTTTTTTTAGCAAAAAACTAAACATGATCACGAAAGAAAAATGTATGTTGTATGAAATTGCTGATGATGTGCACTAGTTAATGTTGACAGATATTAAATACATAAAAAAAAGTGTGTTGTGTGTCCAGGATAGCTTTGTACGCTCACTAATACCACCTATGAGCAAACAGCGGATTTAAGCTTATACATTGCTTATATAATGTAAATATGTGTATACTATATATATCACATATTAACAATGAGGAACATAGGCGTAATATACAAACAATGATAGACGAGTATAATCTAAGAGAAGTTAGTGTTACAATGACGATAGTCATGAAGGACGATGAATCTGGCAATGGCTTAAGCGTTTAACATCCGCGGAAAAAGAAATTGTCGATAAACAAATACGCGACGAGATAATTTAATCGTTTTTATCTGAATATTATTTTGGTTAAAAAAAAATGGTGCGAGTAGATTATGCATCAACTATAGGAATTTAAATAAAAAAATTATTAGAGATAGATATCCACTATCTCTAATGGAGGATCAACTGGATGAATTGCAAAGGGCTTTTTAGTACATTGGATTTAAAAAATGGATTTAAAAAATGAATGCGTTAAGTAAAAAAAGCCATAAAGCTTTTTGTTGTACCAAATGGGCATTACGAATTCCTCAAAGTGTCTTTCAGTTTTTGCAATTTTCCATCAGTTTTCCAATGTTTTATAAACATTTTATAAACATATAAATGTTATATAAACACTATATTTAGAGATTTAATTGTAAATAAAACTATTCTGATTTATATGGATGATATTACAGTACCATCAGTTAATTATAGAAAAGAATTAAAAAATTTGAAATTCGTATTAAATGTTGCTGGTCAATATGATTTACAAATTAATTGAAAAAAATGTCTTTTCTTTGAATTCAGATCGAATATCTCGACACATAATAAAAAATCAATTTATCAAATCATCTGTAAATAAGATTAAAGCGGTAATAAAATTTCCAAAATCAAACAATGTTAGGCAGATTCAAAATTTTTTTGAGTCTAACCGGATATTTTAGAAAATTCATAGTGAATTACGCTAGGATAACTAGATCTCTGACTAATCTGTTGCGAACGAATGTAATTTTTAATTTTGATAAGGAAGAACAACGAATATTTAATGAATTAAAAGCGACATTAATGAATGTATCGGTATTATATAATGTGAATGTCGAGACAGAATTGCACATGGACGCTTGTATGTATGCTTTTGAGGCAATTTTATTTCAGCGCAATGGGGAAGATCGCTCATAGCTCCGATATACTATACAAGTGGGAAAACAATTTCCACAGAAAAGCGTTATACCAGTTACGAACTCGAAGTACTTGCAATAGTTAAAGCACTGAAGAAATTTAGAATGCATTTATTGGGCATATTATTTCGAATTGTTACCGATTGCGATGCATTTATAAAGACAATGAATAAGAAAGATCTGTGTGTTCGCGTTGCTCAAATAGGCGCTCTTTTTACAAGAATTCGATTACCGATTGAGCACCGATTGAGCAAAGCTATGCGCCATGTAAATGCTTTAAATCGGAATCTTCTGTCTACATATTATATAATAAATAAGGAAAATGCATGTCTTGTAGAAAGATTAAAATGGGCACAGCAGGAAGATGCCGAATTGCATATATTGAGGCCGCA